CAGAGAAGACCTACACCTGTTATCGCACCAACGTTCAGACTCGACACTCAAAATCAAGGATAGACCTGATCTTACTCTCGCAGGAGATTCAGAATGCCCTACAGTTGGCCACCATCTTCCCGCAAAGCCCTCACCCGGGTCTAGACCATCAATTATGTGGAGCCATCTTCTCCTTCCGCAAAAGACCGGACCAAGGACCCGGATACTACAAGCTCAACACATCCCTGTTTAAGGACAAATTCTTTCACACATTCATTCGAGATGTATGAAACTTCTGGAGAGATCAGAAACACTCCTTCGGCTCGGAAGTTCGATGGTTCACCAACGGACTCTTCTTTCTAGCCAGAAAATGTAAGGAATTTTCGAAGTTCTTGGCTAACCGTCGACATGCACTTGAAATGGATGTTCACAGGTGACTGCACAACCTGATTAACCATGACAATTCTAACGTTCATATCATGGACATTCAGAACTTACAGGACCAGCTGCTTCAACTAGCACAGCACAAATGGCAAGGAATTAGAATTCGAGGCAAGTTAGCAAAATGGACGACCGAAGGCACTATGGACTCTCAATTTTTTAGTCTGGCCTCGCTGAGAGCACACCGCACCACCATTGAGGCCTTTTTGGACCCCGTATCCGATGAACTAGCCACCACCACAGCTCATTGCATAAAGATCGCCAGATCATTTTACAAAGACCTATTTTTTTCTCACATCCCCCATCAGCAGGACGCAAACCGACTCAAAGAGTTAGAGGATTTCCTTCGCCCGATGGAGGGCCGCCTCTCCCCGACACAAAGAGACCATTTGGACAGTCGGGTCACCAAAGAAGAGATTTGGACGACCCTCATGCAAGTGGAGGAAGAGAAAACCCCGGGCTTAGATGACTTCCCCAAAGAATTTTGGGAGTCCATGTGGCCTCTCCTAAGTGACGATCTGATGGAATTCTACAAGGCGGTGTGGAATTCTAGAGAGCTCGGGGAGTTAGTCGGGCAAGGGGTGGTATAGTTACTGCATAAAAAATGGGACAAAATGAACATCTGAAACTACCAACCCATCACACTCTTGACAGTGGTATATAAAATTATGTCAAAAGCATTGGCCAACCGAATGATCGTGGTAATGGAAGATATCATCCACCGGCCCAGACCGGTTTTATGCGCAATCATAATATTCAAGAGAACATACTCCTTGTCAACGAAATGATTAGTTTGGCCCATCAGTCTAAGAGTAACACCGCACTCTTCTTCATGGACTTCGAAAAAACCTATGACCATGTAGACTGGACATTCCTAGATAGATGGCTGGAGCAACTGAATTTTGGCAGCAATTTTCGAAGGTGGGTGCAAATCCTGCACCACAATGCAACCACGAGCGTTCAAATAAACGGGCCTATGACCCCCGAGATAAGGCTGCAACGTTCAATTAGACAGGGGGACCCCATTGCCCCCTTTTTATTCATCATCATAATGAAAGCGTTAGCAACCAACCTCTGACAAAGCAAAGATTTAAAGAGAACTCAGATAGTCGGCATCCCGGAAGAGGCTGTTCCGGTCTGCTCACTTTTTGCAGACGATCTTACAATCATGGCCGACGCCACACAGCAAAACATGGAGGTGATATACAGACTGATGAACCTATTTTGCACCCTCTCGGACATGGCTGTTAACCGGGGACACAAAACGATAGGATGGTGGCTCCACCACCAAGGGGGCCGTCCCCCGGGTGGTCACCACATCACATGGGTGGCCTCAGAATCCCCGATCCGGATTCTGGGAGTAAAGATGTCATCACTGGGTCAATCCCCTGAAAATGACGGATGGATATCATCCCCGGCGAGGGCCAAACTCTCCCAATGGAACCACCAGCACACATAATTTTTCGGTCGTGCTTTGGTGATCAACAATGTAGTCTTAGCCACCCTTTGGTACAAATCGGTACTTTAGCCTCTGAGCCCAAGGGCCCTGAAGATTTTGAAAAGGAAGGTGGCGCTTACCTATGGAGAGGGGATAGTGAGAACCCACATGTTATCAATCGGGTGGCATGGGACTTAGTCATCCAACCCAAGAGCAAAGGAGGCCTCGACATTCTTGACCCCCTCACCCAATCCCAAGCCTTGAGTTTACAATGGGTAATACGTTTGATTTTCGAGAACCCACTGGTACGGAGACTGTTGGCATTGGCGCAAATAGCCCGTCCAGCCCCCGACGCCCCTTTGTCCGTCCACCCCCTCCTATGGTTAGATGACCGCTACTGGAAATACCACGGCCCCGCCGGGGAGGGGAGGGATGGAGAGATGACTTCTAGCCCCGCCTGCTCAAAATCTGGAGGAGCCCCCCCCCCCCCGATTCGCCTGCCTCCGGACAGGTGGGAGGARGTGGCAAGACAACCCCTCTTCGGAAACCGCTGGATCATTAACAAACGAAGCCAGATCTTTTGCAGCACGGATGTCCCATAGAAGGGATGGTGAAGAATGGGGTAACTAGTGTGGGGGATCTCTAGGACAGGGAGAGGAAGGACTGGAAGAATCCGGAGAGGATGAGGGAGGATCTGCGATACTGCCACAATGTGGAATCGGCACTGGAGGAATAACGGAGGTCCTCCTGATAGGATGGTGACCCATACTTCGCAGAGGCCCAGTGTTAGAGGAGGGAGATTGGGTGCCCAAGAAAGGAGGGGACGATAAAGTTGGCCTGGTTCATCTAGTTAGACCGGACGATGGACTGATCGAATGGTACAGTATAAAAGGAACCGGAATACTGGCAGGGAGCCGAGACCCCTTTCAATGGACCTCGAAAGAGGAACTGCACCGAATCAGGGTAATCGAGGAGGAGACAACCGACGAGCTTTCCTTTCAAAGATCGTCATAGAAAACCTCCCAATTGATCCATTGGAATGGATCTGGAATCCCGGCTCACGGCATAACTCTCAACACTTAAAACCCAAAACACTGTCAGATCTCTCAGTGAAAGCGACGTACAAAATGCTCAGAACTAAACGTTGTCTTAAGGACACGGTGATTGACAGATGGCCGAAACACCTCAATGTGGAGAGACAGTTTCTCACACAGATACGTTGGTTCAGCGAAGCCAAATGCAGACCTGCGAAAATTTCATCCTTACAGTGGCAGATCTTGCATCGGTGCCTACCTACGAATGACTGGTTGATCGACCACTCGAGGTTGGAGCAACAAGGTCGGGCGCTCCCGTGGTGCCCCCGATGCCTATTGGGATGCCCGGCTAGAAAGAGAGCAGAAACAATAGAACATATATTCCTGCAATGTCCAACAACAATTTTGACATGGAGGTGGTGGGATAGGGTATGGCAACAAATGGTTCCAGAACATCCATGGCCGTGGGATTGGAGGGCCATCCTTATGGGCCACTACCCGCCTTGCCAAGACAACACCTTTGTGTCGAACATGTTTCATCTGTCCAGAAGAACAATCCTGTGGGTCCTGTGGTGGTAACGTTGTGTCCTAACTTAAGAACGAGTTCGGATAGAAGGAAAAGAGAGGTTGGAGCAAATCAAAACGCACTTCCAACTGGAGCTCTCGCATAGGTGGAAGTTAACCAAGCAATCACTCAACAACTTCTATACATCTAAGGACATTCGGGAACGTCTACTACAGTTTTCTAAGGAATGGCTGGGTGGGGAACGGGAGGGATGGGTAGCGGAAGTATGTTGGACAGGGGAGTGGAGTGGACAAGAAGGAAAGGAGGACAGTCAAAGAAAGGATGTCCCAAGGGACTACCACCTGAGATTCACGGAGTGGCGAACGGTAGACTCGAGCATCCCCATGAGACCTGCAGAGGAGTTCCCAGATCCCTTACCTCCACATCCGTAGTCTCTGGAAGTACGTCTGTAAACACTGCACATTAACCCAGGTTTGACGACGTCTGTATGTTATCCCATACTGTTGTATTTCGGTCTTTAACCAGCATTCTGACGTAGAGGGAGTGGGTGGTAGGTTTCGGAGTAGAGGTAGTTTAAGGGGAAGGGCAAGGTGATGGAAGGAGGTCCCACTGGTGCCCCCCAGTGGCTCCTCCCGAAATCCTGAACCAGGCATAGGGAGCGCTCCATAACTGCTGCATGGTTCCTCGGCGTTTTGTCAAGAAAGAGACCGAGGATATTAGGGAAGGGAGAGCCAGTATGTAACAGCAGGAATCTGGCGCCGGAACCAGAGTGAAGAAGGGCCCCCCCTGCTCAGTCAATCCCCTGGAGTCCAGGGCAATTAATGCTGGCAGGATCCTCCTGCATTCTTCCTAATGTATTACACATGTATCATTGTCATAATGGGACGCTGGACCCGCTTTCCAGCAGGTGATGCTCCCCACTAATAGATGGAGCCTGTCCCCAGGTGCTAGCGGTGTGTGTTTTATCAGCATCGCTAGCACTGGAGGCCCGGAGGGAGCTGTGTTTTGTTAAAAAAAAAAAAAAAAAAAAAGATTTGGTCGTTTTGTAATTTTTTTCTTTGACGTGAAATTTGTTTTGTCGTATGCTTTGGCTCTTTCCGTTTGGGCAGGAAACCATTTTAAACCATCAGTACTTGGCCCAGCTATCGATGCCGAGCCTGGAATGCCCCTGCGCGCTGATTTTTTTTTGGCTCGCGCTTCCAGCCATTCTGGTCCGGTACCCCGAAGCCCTTAAACCACCAGTACCTCGCTCAGCTATCGGCCGCGGGCACTCCCTTATACGCGCCGCAGCCCTAGGGGGGTCGGCCAAGGGAAGGCCCGGTCGCTGCGCGAAGGCCGGGCTCCACTTCCCTAGGAACGACACACTAGAGAAAACAAAAAAAAAGAAGGGGTAACTTCGGCGCAGTCACGAAAACAGTTTGTAATTGCATTCGAAACTGTGTTTTAGCAGTTTAGTCAGGGGACCACTGAAGGCACGTGTGAACCGCCTCGGAAGATGCCGAGTGAGAGTGAGCACGTTTATGAGTTGTTCTGAGGTATCGTTACTATGGAGTTACCAGTGGTGAATAAGTAATTAGAGGTACCGGAGGAGTGTTCTATACGAGTGCAGAGGGACTGCGATGCGAAGCCATCCTGTTGATACTAGTCTTTCGGCTGAAGTGGGTTTTGAGGTATCCTAGTATTGTCACCGTTTGATGTTGAAATCTGTTGTTGTGGTACGAGCATCTTGGTCCTGTGACACGTCATGGGGTCTAATTACCCGGATTTGGGACGGGAGAATCGTCGGGAGTGGGGAAGTGAATGGGGAAGAGAGCAAGGAAGATACGAGTCTGGGCGCGACCGTTATGGCGATAGAAGACGGGAGCGATCACTGGAGCCCGAAAGTTCAAGTCACGTTGTCCAGAGGGAAGCCCCGCAACGATTTACACCGGTGTGCTACGAATGCGGAGAGCCTGGACATTATCGAAACCAGTGTCCTAAGCTGGGAAGGGATGGTGGTCCGAGAACTGGAAGCCAGCGAGGGCGGTCGACATCACCACGCCAGCTCACACGTCAGCCCGAGCCTCGTGCAACGTCCGAAGACCCAGCGATGGCACGTAAGTTGGAGGATCTTGCGGCCTCTATGGCAGCCATGAAGGAATTGTTCAAGGCGGAGAACGCGGCAAAGGAGGAGAAGCGTAAACGGAAGGCCGAGAAGCTGGAGCGGAAGTGATTGAAGGAGGAGGAAGCGCGTTTGGCCGAGGAGGCGCGTCTTGCAGAGCAGAAGCGTTCAGCACGCAAGGAGGAGAAGTTAAAGAAGGAAGAAGAAGCCCACGAAAGTATGAGAAAGGAATTGTTAATGGAAGTTTCAATTCGCATGGGGCAGCTTGATGAATCGTTACAGCAATGTTATGAACGAGACCTGCGCGAAAAAGTGAAGGGTAAGCAGCAAGTTGTCGAGCCTTCGTCCGATGAGGAATCCGTAGATTCGCATGAAAGTGATGTCCACACGTTGAGTCGCAAGACTGAACGATTGGTGATTTCAAGGAAGCGTAAGCGTGGAACCGACCTGCCTATCGACGACAGCCCACCTATGGAGACACCGGCAAAGCGTGTCATGAAGCGCCGCCTTCAGCTCGGTTGTCGTCACCAGCCTCTTAAGAAGTCGCCTCCTTATAAGACACCGCTGACAGGCAAGAGGAAGATCCCGACTGCCCTGGGATCCGTCGGTAAGCTGAGGTTCATTACGGACAATCTTCGACAGCTGGGCAACATGAATGTTGACGAGCTGAAGAGGATCTACACATCTGAAGGCATGGAATATGAAGGTAAGAAGATGCAAGCGATACTTGCGATTGCCGAGAAGCGTACATTAGTTGCATATGGCGAAGAGGAGGGCCGAGTTGTGGAAGAGAGGGTGGGAGAGAACAAGGAGGGTGGAGAAGAAGACGAGCGAGAGGTTGGGAGTGGAGAAACCTGAACTACAAGTAGACTTTGGGTGTTGTGTGGATGTTTGATCAAATTCCATCGTGAGCATTGGAATGACGGTATTGTTGAAAGGTTGTACAGACTGGTCGTAGTCTCACTCGCCCTTCGAAATTAGATTCGTTGGTTGGGTAAGTGTGTTGACGCATGGGTTAACTTATATCGACAGTTTGGGATTAGTTGTTTCACTACAGATAGCGCTGGAATTTACATTCTCATCTCTCCTAAATGCCGTGCCCAATAGGTGGGGGAGACGAATCGGGACTACCAGACGCGTTGGAAGGAACATATCTCGGTGTGCAATCGAGGTAGGAAGAACAATCATCTGTATAGATGGTGGAGAGTCTTCGGCTATGAGTCATACATTCTGATCTCGATTGATAGATGCACACAATCTGATATGACAGTGATTGAAGATATTTACATCAGACGGTGGTGCCCGACTTTGAATACGACGGGTAAAACTAAGGTTGGCAAACGAGGGGGACGAAGGAGAAAAGGGCGACATGAGAGGGACAGGGGAGGAGGGGGTCGCGCTGTATGTGCGCGCCCAACAAACGTCGCACCTGTTAGAGTGAAAATTGTCGAGGAGGAGGATTGGAGTGCAAATGTTTTCCAGGTGTTAGCAACCAACGATGAGGCGGGAAAGCGGAAGTTTGCTTCGTATGTCGAAGGGGAAAATTGTTGGGCTGGGGGATGAAAGTCGATCCGTTCAAGTTTTGGTCAGACGGAGGTTAGGATTAATGGTATCCGGCGTAAGTTCTACATGTGTAAGCAGGAAATGGAGCAGGGTGTGAAATTAGATATTCTCCATTTGCGACGTTGGAAGCCGAAGATCAATAAGGATAAAAAGTTTCTTATTTCGATTCTTCGTAACAAGGATCGATGGGTAATTTTGCGAAAATGCAATCTTGATGCCTTGATTAGGCTGATGGGTGTTGCGCAGGACTTTCAGAAGCCGGCTACTACAGCGTATTTGAGAGGGTTATTGGGCGGGTGGTTAAGGATGTGTTCGGATGGACTTTGAACTCAAACATCCTTGTTAAACTGCGATTCGATGACAGAATCCGAGTTGCGGCAGTTAGGAAACTTTTGAATGATCAAATTGAGGCGATGATGATACCAAACTGTCTGAAGACGCATGCACGACGTGGGGTGCGCATCGTACGGGTCAAAAACCCATCCGTTGCAAGCCTTATCCGCAATCAACGGAGTTATTCTCGCGCTGATGTGGTAACCTGCTCATGTGCAGTATTTCCCTATCCAAGGATAGGTGGTCACGTGCAGTTTCGGCTACAGGAACTAGACGACATTCATCCGCTCCTCTGTAATGCTAATAATGTTCCTAAGCTTTCGCATCCGGATCGTGAAGGACTGCTACTACAAGAGATTAAGCAGGGTCTGGAAGGATGGGGCAACTGGCGAGGGGAAGAAGCGGCCATTGAGAGAGTCGAGGTGGAAGCGTGTTTGAGTGTGAGAGAAGATACCGGGTCCAAGTACCTGGACATGCGGACGGTATGCGGTCTGAAGAAGCAGCTTGAAGGGCTCGTACTTACACCATTGGACCGGAACCTGGGGGAAACCCTCGTGTTATGTCCCAGGAAATACTATGAAGCCATGTTGCAACTGTTTGTTATGAGTGCAGGTTACAGGGTGATCAGAGAGCCGGAAGGAGTGGTGATGGAAGCCATGCGGTGTGAAGTGTTGGACGCTGGTCTGACGAAGCTGGCGCAATGGGATAAGAAAGGCAAGTTTGGAAAAGTCTATGTCATGCCTAAGCATAAGGACTTGACACGGTTTCGTCCAATCCGCCCAACGTATTCGGAGCCTACGGTTAGAGGTTGCGGGATTGTCGCGAAAGCTCTTAATCATTTGTTGTTTTCACTCCCGCAGGACTGGCATTTCAATCTTCGCTCACTAGCTAGGTTGGTCCCACGGTTGGATTCGATTAATTCGAGGATTGCAAGAAGGGTGGGGATCAGCTCGGACATATCCGCAATGTCTTATGACATTAAGGATATGTTTAGCAAGCTGCCCCATCAAAAAATTGTAGAGGCTGTGGACTGGGTAGTACATTCCCATGTGAAGAAGGGACGCAGTTTCGTGCGGGTGAATTCGCGTGGTAGAGGTTGCTCCTTTGGTAGAACTACAGGGGATGACTACTGGCGTTCAGTACCATTGCAGCAGATCCTAACCTTCGTGCAATTCGAGTTGAATCACACCTACATGCGGGCTACCGGCGTATTGCTAAGGCAAACAGTGGGGATACCGATGGGAAAAAGCACAAGTCCCCCACTGACTTGCATTCTCTGTGCCTTCGCAGGGTACAAGTTTCTTCGAAGTTTGGGTGCCTGTATAAGAGATGTTTTTGGCATTCGCCTAATGGATGACGTGAGTCTGATCGTCCTCGAAAGAAGGCATTGTGCGATGAAGGTTGAGCGGATTCAGAAACTCTTCATAGCATTCTATCCGAAGAATCTGCAACTTAAGAGAACGGATGATGACTTAGGTGCCTGGGATTTTTTGGGCACTCAGATCCGTATTAATGCGCTGCAACCGTTTGTCACGTGCTGCCAAGTAGCAAAAAACGAATGTACTATTTGGCATAGCAATGGTCTGGAATTCAAGAATGGGCAGTCATATTGTTCCTGGGGGTGTAAGCAGCAGAAGGGCGCTGTGGTTACCTGCCACCTTCACCGGATTGATCGAAACACAAATGACCGAACCCGTATTCCCAGGCAAGTGCTCAGCCTGGTTCGGAAACTTCGACTGAAGGATTTTCCGACCAAGACAGTGGAAAGGATAATTAAGCATTTTGCCAAGGGAAGGGACTGTATTTGGAATTGGACTGTGCATTGGCTATACCCACCTTAGCCGAGTCAGGCGGGGACAACGACTGTTTGTCAAATAGTATGTTGATCACCGCTTTTCGCCTGGTTCATCCAAAATGCTGTTTGAAGCCGTGAACGGAGGGACACACACCCCCCTCCGACAGTGGGTGCGGCTATTCGAGGTAGTGAATTTACCTTCCTCTGGACTGAGCATTAAGCAACCTTTTTCGTGTTTTCCTTTTTCCTTTGTTTTCCATTTGTTTTCAGTTTGAAACAGGTTAACTGGGGTGACAGGGTTAGCTGTGTTTTCTGAAACAAGTTGTCTGTGGTGGCAGGGTCCTCTATACTTATGTTTGAAACTGGTGTCTGTGGTACAGGGTTCTCTGTATGTGTGTTTGTCCTGTTACTTTGGTTTTTCCGGCGTTGCTTTCTATTTTGTTTTATTTATTTTCGGTTTGAAACAGGTTGACTGTGGTGACAGGTTTCGTAGTGTTTTCTGAAACAGGTTCTCGGTGGTGACAGGTATCTTTGTGTTTTCTAAAACAGGTTAACTGTGGTGACAGGTTCTTAGTGTTTTCTGAAATAGGTTGTCGGTGGTGACAGGGTCCTCTGTTTTACGTTTGTCTATCATGTTCCTTTGTTTCCTTCCTCTGTTTTCCATTTGTTTTCGTTTCGGAAGTGGTCTAGGATTAGCATTTGGGAACTCGGGAGTCGAACCTGTGATTTGGCCCTCTGTGTTTTTTGAACTGAGGGTAGTAGTCGTGTCGGGCTTTAGAACTTGAGAGGCTTTAACAGGATTCGAACCAGCGCGGTTTGTAGAATCTATTTTGTAGGTCGTAATGGTCAACCGCGGCTAGATGGATGACTGTAACATGAAGGTGCGTGCGACGGCGCAGGTCATACTTGGAATCGATGTGAGTTGTCTTGTGGGGCTGGAGAACTCGAGAGGCTCTAACGAGATTCAAACCAGCGTGGTCCGCAGAACCTGTTTCGTAGGTTGTAATTGTCAGACGCGGTTGGACTGACGACTGCAACTTCGTACGACTGCCAGGCCATGCTAGGCCAGGCTTATGGAATCAACTTCGCTAGATAGGATTTGGTTTGGTTGGTACGATAACATAGGATTCGTGAAAACCTAACAAAACAAATTGTTAGGTTTGCACGAAATCTATTCAAAATTATGATAGTACGTTTTTTAGGTCTCCTCCATGAACAAAATTCTATGTGAAGTGAAACATCCGCAAAAAAAAGAACAGAAAATTGATTTTTCATAATTACTGGAGGGGGCGAGGAAAAAAACGGGTTTTTTAATAGAAAATCACGACCTGGTGAAGCACCGTAGGTTTAAGAATTGAAATATCCTGATTTTTTGTTATCCAAAAAAATTGTGTTTATAGTCCTATAAGATGTGTAGCACGATGAATTTATTCGGGGGGTTTTCGAACATGCAAACATATTCTCCTGTTCGTGAATGCGTTCGCTTGAACATGGTTTCCCATACATGGGCAAATATATTATTTTTTATTGTTTGTTTTATTTTTTTTTCCTATATTTTTATTTTAAACTCGTGTTTGGCTAAGAATTTAAAGGTGTCTCCGAGGCAAAAGTTGTTTGTATTCTTATTTTAAATGACATATATTTTTTGATAAGGGTTTTATTGTTAAGTTCAAAAGTGATTTATAGTCCTATAAATTATTTTGTGCAGAGCTTGACTTTTACCAAACTGCGGAAACTGACTCATAGTCCTATAAATTAGTATTCACCAAAACACGTTTTTTTTTACATCTTTTAAGCTTGCCTTGTCATCCTTAAAAATTATCCTATTTGAACTCTGTTTTTTTGCCAATCTACTGAGCATGACTTATAGTGATATAAAAGCATTTTGCAAGGAAGGGTTTTCTTGCACATTTTGAGGAACGCTAGACTTTTCACCTGATTTTTTGCCTCCTTTATCACACGACGATTGAAAACGCTATTTTTTTGTGTAAAAAATAACAGTTTGACTTTTACTTTTCCATTCTATAAGAAATGTTAGGTTTTCTCCGATTGTGAGGTTTTCATGAATCCCCGGTTCGATGGGTTTTTCTGTTTGCAAGCTCGCTAGGTCGTAGGCTCATAGGAATGGACTATATGAGTAATGATTGCGTGACTATCTGTCTTTTGGGTCCGACGCGAGTGACTACCGGTTGTTTTCGGAGATGGTTGGTAGGTCAACGGCTGAGGAGGGTTGGTGGAAGGAAGGATTTGAGGTAGGGAGACGTAAGGAGGTAACCCCCTGATGATGATCGCGTGGCTGCGATCGAAACCGGTCGGGGAGCCATATCCCAACCGGCATGCAATCAAGTACATGTGTGCTTATGTACATTGTACATGAATATACATAATCTTTTGACGTTGTGTATATGGTGTGAGACGCTGTGTATTCAGTGTTGATTGATCTGTATTTTCTCATCCTTTCAGTAAACCACTAGTCAGGGACCGAGTTTCAATTGTCGTTGAAACTCGGCCGAATGCAGTTCAGTCAGGGCCCTCGTCGATCCACGAGCAGCACATACAAAAAAAAAAAAAAAAACATCCCTTATGCTGTGATTGCAGTCCGATACAGGATGCTACAGTACTTGCTGCAGCGAGGCAGTTAGGTGCCTCGCGTGGAATCCGCCCTGCCTGGCTGGCAGGGCGCTACAAGGACCTGACAACGAGAAACAAAAAAGAAAAACGACCTGTTTCATGTTCCTCACTTCCTGGCCAGATACATTCCTCAAAGCACTGGTGACCTGAGGGCCTTCTAGACGTAGTAGGTGGATTCGAAGTTCCTCATTTCTTT